CACACACACACACACACACACACACACACACACACACACACACACACACACACACACAACCCTTTCTCATATTATATCAGCATCTCTCATGACTATTAATAATGGTAATAAGATCCCAGTTGTCATGGCAAGCTTTCCAAGAACGTTGCGTACAAAAAAGCACCGCAAGAATTCAGTGTCAAGATTAGAGACAAGCAGGTGTTCAAGAAGAACTTCCGGTCCACATGGTTCTCATTGCAGTTCATTGATGTGTGTCTCACTTCCAGCCAATTCTGCCACTGGACCGCTTGGCCGTCGTTGCGATTGCTGCTGCTGCTGCGTATAAGGGCTGTGCGGATCATGGATATACGGCTTGGGTCCCGGCGCCTGCTGCCACCCCAAGCCACTGTAGACCTGTCCGCTCTCGTGGCGCACATGCCCTTGTGTGTTAAACTGACCTGATGACCGTCCCGCGCGCAGCGACTCTGGAACCAAACCGGTTTCACTCGCCGCTGCTCTCTGGTGTTCATAAAAGTGCTGGTTTTGCCCGGGATGTTGTGCTTGCGACTGCTGCTGTTGCTGTTGCTGCTGATACTGCGGCTGGTATTGATGATGGTATTGATGAGCTTGGTGATTATGAGTTGATGGAGGCGGTGAGTCCCTCTGGCCGATGCTGTCATGCGGGGTGCTTCTTCCCGATGCATCGCCAGAGTACTTGCGTTGCTCATCGTGCACTGAACTGGACCGCATATCGGCCGGATGACCCTCGTAGAATGTGGTACTCGACGGACTGAGAGGCATCGATGGGCGTGCCCCGGCAACCACTGACGAGTTTGGTGATGACGATGACTTTGCCGCTTGAGCCCGAGCACCGGCGACGAGACGCTCCACCAGGACACCATGAGATTTCAGAATCGTCTTCTTAACGAAGCCGGCCATGAGGAAATTGCAGCGGACCTCGACGTCCTCGCGAATGTAGAGGCCCTGGCTTGGGGCGCCGAGGCCGAGCTCGACGGGCTGCTTGGGCTCGCCGGGCAGCGTGCCGCCGAGACTCCAGCGCTCGCGGATGTGCGTCCCCATGGGCGCGTAGCAATGCGTCCGGATCCCGTCATGCAGATCTTGAAAGGCTGCCGTGTACGTCAAATCCGACTTGACACCCGGCACTGCGAAACAAGGGATATGTGATTAGCAAGGCACTTTGCATCTCGAGTTCTTTATGGTCATGTAGAATAAAAATGAATAGGTTGAATGAAGAGCAGCCTGGCTCATTCTTGTGTAAACTTGAGAACCTGACCAAGTTTGGGAGGCTCAAATCAAAACTTCAAGAAGAAAGCTTACTGTATGTGATCTTGTCCGTCATGCTCCACCACACGCATTCCCGCTCCTCGTCCGGACAGTGCGGGGGCGGCTCCGGCAGAGGATGTCGCTCAATGACCAGCGGATTCAAGTCTATCATGCCCTCGTGGTTGTGGAAAAAGTCCAGTACCGGCTGCCGGCCAATGTCGGCCGGCAGCGGCGAAATTGTGGTAAAGGTGGTGCGCTTGGACATGGCTTACTAGACCCGGCAAAGTGTGTACAGGCAATCCGGACCGGGACAGGACAATGTCAACGTTAAGATGTTGAAGCTTGTGTGCGCAGCAAAGCCCCCTCCCTTTGCTGCACCTTGGCTGATGATTTGTGGAGGTTGAAAGTTTAATAGGTGAATTAGATCGAATCTTCACTTGACGAGGACAAGAGTGCCGGTATGTGCGGCTCACTGCTGGCGGATCGTGACGGGGTGAAACAGTCAGCTTCCTTTTGGTCACGCTGTTGTGAGATTATTGATTGTAAATTGGAAAGCGGACGAGCCAACAAACCGTCGTCAGTAAGCGAGCGACACTACTGAGGACTCTTGGGCGGCACTAAACGCAAGGCTCAATAGACTGGATTCCCTAGCCAACAGATCAGGATGCGGACCTCTTGTGCAATCACAAAGAAGTCTCTGGAGGTAGCCCAGAAGGAACTGAGTGATAGACGAGTTGAGCGGAAGAAATGACCTTCTCGTGAGTGGCTGATCAACGCCAAAAAAAAAAGACCCCTGCTCTTCACTTGTACTATGTTGCAGGTGATGCACTTATACGGCTGGTCGCTATACTAGCACGTAGATGCGGCACGTGGGTTAGGAATCAAATAGATGGAAAAGGCTTAGATGCAGACTATTTACCATTTGATGGTTGAGAGTGCTCACATGTTGTAGATGCTTCTGAACTTGGGGGTGTTGTAGAAGAAGGATACTTTAGCATTCTGCACTCAAACTATAACCCCCCAAAATTGATCGCATCTTGTGGCTTTTCGAGCCATGACCCCTGTCAAATACCAGATGGAGGCTGAGCCACAGGATGCTCAAGGATCCGTCTATCAGTTCTGTCCAGCAATCATGCTGTGGTGCAATGGCGATTCACCAATGACTGCTGTCTTTGGGACTTTTGGATGGTCAGCTAATTTGGCTTTGCACAGACCAAATGTGCATTGCTATGGCTACTGTCTTGAGCAATCGTTGGGGGCTGGTGTATTTGAACTTGCCACATCCAAGTTACAGACAAGCTTTCTTCTTAGCGCCTTTTAAAGACGAAAATAGCAACGAGACGATGAACTGAGAGACTTCCAAGACCAGCAGTGCGCCGACTGTGGCATTTTGCTGGACCGCAGTGGCCGGATCCCGTTACACCGAGGCACTGATGCTGGAAAGCAGTCCGGTTTTGGTGATTTGGATTCTCTCGAGTCTCAACTTCGATTAAGTAGTACAATTGGCATTTTTCTTTTTCTGGGCACCCGCGGTAGCACGTGTTTGCCCTTGATTGTTCATATCTGTGTACACCATTTGGCAAGGAAACCCGGGAGTTCGACGGCTGTGGGGATTTCTTCCAACGAAACGTCGAGCTTCCACATCTTCCCTTCTAGTCCACCATGAGCAGCATTGCTTCTACCGCCAATGCCTGCCGGGATCAAGAGACCGAGAGACACTAACCTCTCCCACGCCATCCCGGCCACGGCTCGTCCCCAGGTCCTTCCCCCAGCACCAAGAGCTAGTATACCCGAGGTAGCAGACTGAACCCTTTGCTTGCCCATCTGCGAATTGTACTCGTCGTATGCCATGGCAAAGTTGACCGTATCAGTGTGCGCAACAATGTCGAGGCGCGCAGCGGCTATCAACATTGACAAATCGAGATCTGACAACGCTGCAAGCAGGTGAAGCTTGGAATCTGGGGTCTGGATTTGAACAGCTCTCGACAAAGACGCCCCAATCTTCAAATCGAGTGCACTGGGCGACAGGGTCGACAGAGGCAAAACGCAAGTCGTCAAGAATTCCGTGACCGACTTTGTCGTGTAATATTGATACTCGAGATGTGCCTGGAATGACGGTGACTTGTGGAGTGTCTCGATCTTGTCGTTCCAATATTTTTGAAAGTCGGTCAGACCTTCTAAACCGACATCAAATCCTTCCGATTCTAGATCATCTTCTTCAACCTGCAAGCCTTGTTTACAAATTTCCCAATACGCTAGCAAGCTTTTTGGTAGCGAAAGATGAACATAACGATGACTGAAACGACTCTTGACTCGTTTCTCCAGGCTTTCGACTACATCGATTCGAGTTGTAACACCAAGGACAGCGATCGGGGCCTTCCTTGCTTGAGCTATATCGAAAAGATTATATAGCAAAGTCTGGCGGGCATGTGCCGCGAAGAGATCAAACTCATCAATGACGAAGACGACCGACCGAGATGTTATGCCTTCATCCGTTCCTGTGATCTCCGAGGGATGGGAGAGTAGCGCCAGCAACGAAGCAAGCGTATCTGCATAGTTGCTGGTCTAGATGCTTGTTAGCAATACCATTCCATCAGAGGGTTTTCTCGTCACCTTGTGCCACTCACCTTGCTCATCAAGTCGTCTTCAACCTCCATTTCCTTACCGAGCTGCCGCCAGATCTCCTTCAAAGCAAGTTTATCGTCCGTGTGAATGAATCCGTTGAGACGAATGACATGAAAAGCATCAGAACTTTCCGTCGCCAGCTCAGAAATGACATTCTCCACCATGAGGGTTTTACCACATCCCCTTGCACCAATAATCATCATCGAGTTGCCCTCGCCAGCCATTACTGTCTGTTCGACGAGCTGGTAGGTCTTTTGGTACGCCTCGCCCTGACCCTTTAAAGCGAGACGTCTACTGCCAGAGCAGCGATCAATGAGCACTCTCTGCATGGTACGCAAGTGATGCTCAAAATTTGCAATATCCGGAACGTCCATTGATTGGTCTGTAGCATCTTTTGCGCCCTCAGTGATTTCCTCCTCCATGTTTTCTTGGAGGCAGTCTTTGCAAAACCAGTCATCTTTTGGTATCACGGGCACATTGTAGCATTTCTGGTGAAAGCCCCTGTCGCAATTGTCGCATAAAAGTATCTGATTTCGGGCTGTTGAGTCTGGTTTGGAGCAGATGATGCAAACTTCGTCGTCTTCACTCTCGCCATCTTCCTGGCTTTCTTCGTCTCCAGATACCGAGACCGTTTCTGCAGGCGATTTCCCTGTCTGAAATGTTTTCGAACCTGCCTGTGGTTTTGCTAACTTCGGTAATGGTGTCTTGGTCTTTGGAAGATCTTTGAAGAAGACTTCTGCTGGCTTGTTATCATCACTGTCAAAGGCCACACTCTTTGGTGGGCGGCCACGGCGCTTGTGTCGGGGAGTGAGGATGCCTTTGGGCCCTGTGGCTTGCTGGTTTTCCAGCGCTTCTGTTTGTCTTGGCTTGGCTCTTGCAGGAATATTCTTCACAGCAGGCTTTCTAGACGACAGCACATCCGAATTGCTAGCATCCACTTTCGATCCTAGAGTTTGACGTGGGCGGCGACCGCGAGACGGGGTTCCCTGAGTTTGTTCTTCTGTATCATCGGCTGTGTCCACAGCGGTTTCCTCCTTATCACTGGCTTTCCTAGCCGAGCCATTGGGGCGTTTTGTGCTTCTTGGAGTGCCCGTCTTCTCGCCCATTGGTGTTGAGAATTCGAGCTCCTCTTCCGAGCTAGGAACATCGTAGACATTCTTTGAGGACTTCTTAGGACTCCTCGCCGACTTTTGATTAAGTTTTGTGTATGACACTGCAGGTTTTGTCTTCGAGTTTTGAGCCGGCACAAGGTTTGTCTCTTCGTCAGAGTCGGGTACATCATCATAAGCTGATTTCGAGGTTGCTGCGGTTGAGCTTTTTGGGGCTGTAGCTGTCGCATTGCTTGATCGCTTATACCCAAACATGCTTCCTATAGCCGAGGTAATGGCAGAGAAGCCCTTCGGTGCTTCGATCGACGTTTCTGCAGAGCCATTGAGACGTCTTTTCTTGGCTGAAGCGGCTGTATCGGTACTTTGTGCTCGTGCGGATGATTCGTCGTCTTGCTGAGGACGCGCCCTTTTGTTGCGGGCTGAGCCCGTGTCTGGAGCCATTGAAATGCCTCCCTTTTCGCCTCGGTCAATCTTCAGATGATGGGAGTTACAATCCGGCAAAATGGTTCATGTTTTGGTGTCCTGAATTGTGCGACACTCTTGGTTGTCGCAAGGTGGATGCTGGGTATCTCGAAGCTTGCCTAGATGGGTGGGTTCATTGCAAGTAAATAGATTGGTACCAAAGTAGGTACTAAGTAATGCTCAAAGGACCCTAAAAAGCTGCAAGCGCGACGCGCTCTAAATTGCATGCCACGACGCTGACACGCGCATTGAGGCGCTCAATGTTTCAGTGGGGCAACCCAATATAATAGAGTGCAGATACCTTTACTTTGTACATGTCGTGGGGTGACCACTTGACATGTGCATTGCTCATGCTCATGTACTATGCAGTAGGTTATGAGGTAAGACAATTCATGTCAAGATATCACTTTGTTAATAAGAAGATATTTTACACGCCAAGGGAGATTACGATCCTCTTGGGTGTATATGACATGCCTTACACGCACTCTTAGCGATTGGGGCAAAGGTCAAGCTCGTCTGATAGAGTTCAGCACGGTATATAATTCGCCAAAACATATGAAACTTGCTCATATATTTTTTAGATGGTTATCCGAAATGTATATTGTATCATGGCTGTTATACTTGTGTTGGAATTATATCTATGCATCATTTCCATTCACTACAATCGGTGTTATCTGAAAATAGGCTGACGAGTTACTTGGGCTGTCCTGCCAGAAGTAACGAAAGGCGGCGTAGCTACATACTTACTCTCAAATGTTACATGTTACATGCACAGGTGTCCTTGAACGTAACCTCGTTACCATCCCCACACAGGATGAACAGGTTGCCTGAAGCACAGACGTTGGGATACCTCAAGCCAGGCGATTGAGCCAGCCTACTGTACATACATCTTCCTTGCAATCCATGGCGCAATACCTACCTGATGGGTGGATTCGTATGATAGATACCTGTAGTACCCATCTAGCGTGAGGTATGACTGCTCGTGATGGGACTAGGACAACGCCCATATTTGTTGAATCTTCAATGAATAGGACTAGGAGTACCTATTGCAACATGAATCAAATTCAATGTTTCATAAAGGTCCTACTGAGGCCGAACTTGCTTGTTGTCAAGGCAAGTATGGCAGCACCTGTTCTGTGAAGACCTAACCTTTTCTCCTTATCGGGAGATTTGTTGATGATTCCCTGTCCGGGACGAATGGAAACCTGATCGACGGGACCGGCTGTCTAGGACTTGCCTGCCTGGCTGCCTAACCTAGGTCATAATATAGCCAAGCTCTTCTCCCGCGCTCATCTTGATACCTTGATACGAATTGGTTGGGACAAACCAAGTCTTCATAGTGTCTTGTTTCTCATGTTTGGTTCCAAGCTGTAATGAAAAATCCTTACAGCAGCAAGTCTTGACATCTCTCCCCAGAAAAAGTCGGGCTTGTAATTAAAATCTTACACCACAGCACAGTAACTGGGGGCCATTCCAAGGCTCGGAAGGGGACGTTGCCCGCACTGCGAAACACAAAACCCCGCCATTCTTGTCGCTGACGTACATGCACCCTCGCTCACATTCTCCGCCCTGGGCAGAGTGCTGGCTGACATTTCTTTGTTTGGGCTTCCACTGATTTCTCTGTTCCGACATTTCTAATTTACGACTACGACGACTATTACCGCCTAATGACGGTGCCTACTGCCTATTACTGTCCCCCTACCTAGGTACATCTTAGGTTGGCATGCTTGTGGCTCATGGTGCCCGGCAAAACTGCAGAGAAAGCCGAGCATTCCTTTTACAAGTGATTGTCCACAGGACACCCCACCGTTGACCCTCCATCGGGTACCAGACATAGTGTCTTGTCGCCTTTTCTCCCCCTTCCTGTATTTTTTTTAATTGTTGTTTTCTTTTGGCATTTGTGTTGGCTGGCTGGCGAGTGAGTGAGTGGCACTTTTGTGACGCGAATCGTAGCAGTCCGTCCTCCATATTCATTCACCTGGAAACCGGATCAGAGCCCGAGTGACCTTCCACCACACCACACCCCCCCTCGAGCTACCTTACGTAGTACGGTACATTTGGGCCCAAAAACCACAACAACAAAAGATAGATCCCCCTCATTTTCCCCCGCCCGCCCAAATCTGTCTGCACCCACATCGCCGCCATTCACAACAACCCACTCTAGAGCAAGCAGCTGGTTCTCCCGCGCGTGACGACGCGCAACCAACTGCCCATCATGAGTTCCGAGGACGATGCCATGATGAACATCTTCAAGAAGATTGAGCGCGAGAAGGCCTTGATCAACGCCGCCAATGCTATGCGACAGCAGACCAACAACGATGATGTCCGATCACGCCTCGACAGCCAGATGCGCGAGGGCCGCAGAAACCTGCAATTCTTCGAGGAGAAGCTGCGGGACCTCCAAGTACGCCGCCTAGGACACGGCGTCGACAACATGAGTCTCAGCTCGGGTTCTACGGCTGTCAACTCTGCCCGTCCCACGAGTTCCGAGCTATCTCAGGGCGCGCCCGCTCCTCCGCCAAAGGATGCAAGTGGTGGCTACGGCGCAGCTGATCGTGGCTCGTACGGCTCAGTTGACTATAGTGCTATTGGTGCACATGGTGATCTGATGCCTCCGCGACATCCATATGCAGCCCCTGCCCCCGGCACGGGTATACCACGACCAAGGCCAAACTTCACCAAGCTCGGTACGCTACTACCTGCAAACTCCTTGCCACTCCCACCCCGTATCACGCACCGAACCTTCTTGCTAACAACAGTGTCACCCTGGTAGATCTCATCAAATATGATACGCCTCATCTCGGACCCCGGATCCAGCTCATGCTAGGGCAAATTCAATTCAAGCTAAACGTTGAAGAACAGTATCTCAAGGGTATTGAGAAGATGGTGCAGCTCTATAGCATGGACGGTGACCGCAAAAGTAAAGCTGATGCCGCTGCTAAGCGCATCGAAAGCAAGCAGAAAATCCAGCTCTTGAAGCAGGCACTCAAGAGATACGAGGAACTTCACATTGACGACATTGAGTCGGCAGATTCTCCTGATGGTAAGGCCCTCATCAGGACAAAGACACCCTTTTATGAACCTAGATTAGCTAACACAAACTTTAGATGATAGTATCAACATGCCAAACTTACGGAAGCCACTCACTGGTCAGCTCATGTTCCGTGTTACACAGGTCAAGGATGTCGATCATGCTAGCAGCAGCCGGTTCAGCCGCGGTCCAGAGACGTTTGTGTCCGTAAAGGTGGAGGACAATGTCGTGGCTCGGACAAAGGCTTCACGAAACGACAGATGGGAGTTTGAAACCCACAATATCGATGTCCGGGAAGCAAATGAAATAGAGCTCACTGTGTACGACAAGCCAGGCGAACACGCGCTACCCATCGCTATGCTCTGGATACGGATTTCCGATATTGTCGAGGAGTTGCGCCGCAAGAAGATTGAAGCAGAGGTCAATAGCTCTGGTTGGGTCTCTGCAGATCGTGTGGGCAACGCTGGCGCAGCGCCTCCCCAGTTCCCTATGGGCTCTCAAGGACCGCAGTTTAGCCCACCTCCTGGCTCTCCCGAACTGACGTCCTCGACCCCACAACAGCAGCAGCAGCAATTCGGCCCCGGGGCTCTGCCGTCCGTTGGTAGCCAACCGATTGACGCTTGGTTTACGCTGGAACCTACCGGGCAGATACATCTGCAGCTGGATTTCAACAAGATGAACAAGGACCGTCGGCCGGTTGACTTGGGTCTTGGCCGAAAGGGTGCCGTTCGTCAGCGAAAAGAGGAAGTTCACGAGATGTATGGTCACAAATTTGTTCAGCAACAGTTCTACAACATTATGCGCTGTGCGCTATGCGGCGATTTCCTCAAGTACTCTGCTGGCATGCAGTGCGAAGACTGCAAGTATACTTGCCACACCAAGTGTTACTCCAGTGTAGTCACAAAATGTATCAGCAAATCCAACGCCGAGACAGACCCAGACGAGGAAAAGATCAACCACCGTATCCCTCACAGATTCCAGCCTTTCTCCAACTTTACAGCAAACTGGTGTTGTCACTGTGGCTCTGTACTGCCCGTAGGCAAGAAGAACTGCAGGAAATGCTCAGGTAAGAATGATTAGACACTTTGGGAGATCATAGGTATAGAGACTAACGATTTGTCAGAATGTGGTGCTACGGCTCACGCGCAATGCGTGCATCTTGTGCCTGACTTTTGCGGCATGAGTATGGCAGTGGCTAATCAGATCCTCGAGGGCATGCGTAATCAAAAGCAACGTCAACAGAAGGGTACATCCATGAGCGACCGGACACTGCGTCATGGCAAGACGACATCATCAGGCTCAGATGGGCCAACTTCTCCATACAGCCCTAGCAGTATGCCTTCTTACCAGGGAAGTGTCGCGTCTCAGGAGGCACAAAACGCTGCCAAGGCCATGTATGCCAGTCAGACGTCTCCAACCAGACCAGCTCACCCTGATCGTGCATCATCGCAAGCCTCAACTGCAGCTGCTGCTGCTGCGTCAGCGGCCATGGGCGGCGCCATGTCGCCCCAAAGTGGCCGGCAAGGATCAATGTCCGACTATGGTAGCCAAGGTGGTTATGGTGGCATGGATGCCCACGATGACCCATATGCCTCCAACCAAGGATATGGCGCTCCCCAGCAGCCAAAATACAATCCTGCCGCCTACGCAAACGTCAACAGCTACCCTAACCAGCCTCAGGTGCAGCAACAGGCTCGACCGATCCCTCAGCAACAGTCACCACCGCCTCAGCCGCAAGCGCAACCCTACCAGCCCAGTGCCGCTGTACCGAAACCCGCAGCTGATCTAGCTGCCGCCAGAGCAGGGCAAGGAGCAGTAACTGGACCAGGAAAACCCCCACTGCCATTGGCAACAGACCCAGGAACCGGCCAGCGGATTGGCCTGGATCACTTCAACTTCTTGGCAGTCCTTGGAAAGGGTAACTTTGGAAAGGTCATGCTGGCTGAGACAAAGAAGTCGCGTAGACTGTATGCCATCAAGGTGTTGAAGAAGGAGTTCATCATTGAGAACGATGAAGTCGAGTCCATCAGGTCTGAGAAGAGGGTCTTCCTTGTCGCCAACCGAGAACGTCATCCCTTCTTGACCAACTTGCACGCCTGCTTCCAAACCGAAACACGTGTTTACTTCGTCATGGAGTACATCAGTGGTGGTGACTTGATGTTGCACATTCAACGTGGCCAGTTCGGCACGAAGCGTGCCCAGTACGTGAACCAACCTCGACCCAAAATTGTGTGACTTGAAAATATACTTACAGTTCACAGGTTCTATGCTGCCGAAGTCTGTTTGGCACTCAAATACTTCCACGAGAACGGTGTCATCTACCGTGATCTGAAGCTGGACAATATCCTCTTGACCCTTGATGGGCACATCAAGATTGCAGATTACGGTCTTTGCAAAGAGGACATGTGGTTTGGCTCTACGACCAGCACCTTTTGTGGAACCCCCGAGTTCATGGCCCCAGAGGTAAGTTTCGACTGTTCTGCGCCGGCAGCCCTCCTACTAATAACAAGGTAGATTCTGTTGGACAAGAAGTACGGACGAGCTGTTGACTGGTGGGCGTTTGGTGTGTTGATATACCAGATGCTTCTCCAGCAATCACCTTTCAGAGGTGAAGATGAAGATGAAATCTACGATGCCATTCTTGCAGATGAGCCATTGTACCCGATCCACATGCCGAGGGATTCCGTCTCCATTCTCCAGAAACTACTAACGCGGGAGCCCGATCAACGATTGGGCAGTGGCCCAACTGATGCTCAGGAGGTCATGAGTCAGCCATTCTTCCGCAACATTGTGTGGGATGATATTTACCACAAGCGTGTTGCGCCGCCATTCCTGCCGCAAATCAAGAACGCGACGGATACGAGTAACTTTGATTCAGAGTTTACCAGTGTCACCCCCGTTCTTACTCCTGTGCAGTCTGGTCAGTATTCGCCAATTTCAAACAATGTATCTTGTTCTTTGCTAACATTGTGTAGTGCTGTCGCAAGCGATGCAAGAGGAATTTCGTGGATTCTCCTATACTGCCGACTTTGAGTAGAGTTCGTAAAAGAACAAATGGAGATTCAACGGGCTGGCGACGAAACATGAACAAGTGCGGGGCAACGATCCATGAACCCCGTTGTATGAGGTTGACGAGCGCCTTATGTTGTCAAATGTTTTTTGAAATCCAAACTCTAGGAATGACGGACGACTGATGGGGACGTGCACAATATACCCATGGCCAGGTTGCCAGAAAAGTTCCAGGTGGATTTAAGCCCATATCGGTTTACGCCGATGCGGTTATGAGGCGTGTTATTTTCCGGTCCAAAAATTAAAGATCTGGAAGGAGATACTTTAGATTTCCAATGAGAAAGCAGGGAAGGGTATCATTCGTCCTCTCCATCCAGGCATCTTGGGTGTCTTTTTAATAGACCAGTAATATAGCGTTTTCACGGCCTCGACACTTCGCTGCTTGAGTGCACTATGAATGGCTACTGACAATTGTTAAAAAGCAACTCATGAGCTCATACTTGTCATTACTACTATAGTATTTATTTCTCCCAAAAGGTCCATGGTCCATTGGATGGTTCCCAATGTGGCAAACTTTGTGGCATATTAATATTTTTATTTATTCTTGACTTGGGTTGGATAAAGGGGTTGTTCCTCGTACTACCTACCCTATACTATACAGTGCTGGTTGACGCTCATGCTTTGGAATTTTGGACTTTCCTTTATAAAATGTTTGGTTATCCGAATGAATCACGCTCTTCGGATGAAGAAGAGGGCAATTGTGCCGGCCAGGGCCGCACCCGCCGCGGCGCCTTCTAGGGCTAATAATGATACATCACACATGCGTATGGCGACCTTTCTTTCGCTCGTCAGGTCGGCTGCAGTTTCCCTCCACCATACCGTGCTCGTGAATAGCTCTCGCCACGATATTGAGTGCTGTTCACGTATCAGTTCGGGCACTGTCTCAGCTGCAACCGCTACAGGCGGTTCTACAGACCCTCCCACCACGTCGGCTTTTGTTCCGGTTGCGGCCTCCTCTTCTGGCGATTCAGCTGACTGGGCATTGCCAGCGGTAGCGGCGGCGGCGGCTGCTGCTGCTGCGCCCTCCAAGCCGGCCGACTGGAACAAGTTGCCCAGCATTTCCAGTCTTTCGGCCTTGTCCTTTTCCCTCTCGTGGGATAGAGCCTCGCGGACTTTCTCCTCGAAGCCGCGGACGAGACGGGCTCGGCGCCAGGGCTCGGCGCCAAACTGAAACATGAAGAAGAGCAGGATGTTGACGCCCATGAGACCCCAAGTGCCCCAGGTACTCATGCGGCGGATCTTGTCACTCCAGATCTGCTCCTCATGGTAGCGGGCGAGGATGCCGGAGCTAAGCTCGCGGGCCAGGCGCTCGGCCTCGCGTTCGGCGTGCTCGAGGTCGCGGGCGCGCTCGGCCACGCCGGCCTCGAGCTCGTAGTCGGTGCGGTAGAGGGCGGTGAAGCGCTCAAAGTCGGCCGGGGTCCAGGTCTTCTGTCGGGCTAGCAGCGTCGTCACCTCGCGCTGTGTCGCCGAGCGGTCCGCCACGGCCGTCTTGTAGTCGCGTCGTGCCTGGTGCAGGGCTTCTTGTGCTGCGGCCAGCGAGGCTTCTAAACCCGCAATCTGATTTTTGAGTGTCTCGATCCCCGAGTACCCCGTCAAGTCGTTGATGCGTTGCGAGGCCAGGAACAGTTTCGACTGGGCCCGATCCATAAAGGAGGTAAAGGCTGTCGAAAGGCCGGAGCGCTGTGACTCGGAATGCGAAGGGAGCGGGGGATTGCCACTTTCATCTTTATCGCTGAGTTTGGATGTTTCCGCGTCCAACGTGGGCGCTGACTCGGTTGCTGATGCTTCTGCCGTTTCGATGTCTTTCGAGGCGAGCGCTTCCGGCTCTGGCTTGCTCTCCACTGGCCTCAGGTGGTCAAAGTTTGGGTGTGAACTCGACTTATCCTCGGGTTTGAGATGATCGAAATTCGGCGGTTCGGGCGGCGGCGACCTAGACGAGGAGTCTCTCAGCCGCCGGCTGGTGTGAAAGCTACAGCTTGGGCATATCGACGACGACGGCGGCGACGACTGCTTTGAGAATTGAGCCCGGCGAAAGGCAGCGACGGCGGTAGCGGCCAACGTACTAGCCGGAGCTATGCCATTGGTACTAGTCCTCTGGCACTGGGCTCGAAGCAATCGCGAGCTCGCTCCTAGGATGGGCCGTGATATCCTAGTCGGAGGCATTGCCGAGCCTGTTGTTGAGGGAAGTCGTCCCGAGTGACCCCCCTTCTTCCCAGGAGTCGGAATTCCCAACAAGAAATATCTATTCCCCGGGCTGTGGAAGTTGTGAGGGTAAAAAGTTGGAAGAACAGAAAGAAGAAGAAGAAAAAAATAGGGGAGCTTGGGCCGATTGGTAGACGGGGTTGAAGCTTCGAAACTTTTGGTTCCGGGGGGACGTCATCCACAATTCTGCAAAAGTGCAGTGCTGGCGCGCTGGCTTTGGCTGGCATATTCACCCCATCTC